AGAGAGACAGGATAAAATCGAGTAACGACAAGATAAAATCGAAGAGCTAATTCAGGAGAAAGTCGAGGCTAAGGTAGAAGAGTTGGAAGGTCGCCTCCGAGATATGCAGTTGAATCGCCCACCTTCTTCGACCAGCGCGCCCCAGGTAAAGACTCCATCCTTTGACGGCACGATTCCTTTCCAAGTCTTTAAGCTCCAGTTTGAGAAGACAGCTACAGCAAATCACTGGAGCATGGAGGATAAATCCGCTGCACTGTTCGTTGCATTAAAAGGACCTGCAGCGGAAATCTTGCAGACTATTCCTGATTGTGAAGGGAACAGTTACGATGCGTTAATGGGTGCAGTGGAAAGACGTTATGGTAGCGAGCACAGGAGACAGATTTACCAGATGGAGCTGGAAAATCGCTGCCAGAAATCCAACGAGACTCTACAGGAATTCGCCTCCGAGGTTGAAAGGTTGGCTCATTTGGCAATTGGAGATGCATCTGGTGAGCACCTCGAAAGAGTAAAAATCCAGAGGTTCATCAACGGAATGCGGGATGTGTATGTATACCAAGCGCGAGACGTATGCAAATCCAAAGCCAACATTTGCTAAAACGGTCTCGTATGCTCAGACACGTGAAACGGCGGCGCTCCTAAGTAGACCAGCCTACAAAGCCCATCGAGTAGAAGTGGAGACACCTGACGTGATGAACGAGATCCTGAAAACACTCAAGTCGATGGCAGAGAAGAATACTCCTGGTGCAACCGAGAGAAAGGATGGTGCTAGGTAATGCTTTAGTTGCGGAAAACCAGGCCACTTCGCACGCGAATGTAAGACGGGTTCCAACAGGTCAAACAGTTCAGCAGTACGTAAGCGCAGGACTGAGGATGACGAGCCCGACTCCGATCAGTCGTTAAACTGAAACGAGCCAGCAGGAAGGGCCGCGTGCTGGCTCCAGAAGTTGAAGGGCCCATAATCTCCGTCTCACAAATTGGCCGGAATGCGAGCAACCTCACTATTGGTGGATGTGTGAATGGGCAGGAAAGAGTACTGACAGTGGATACTGGAGCGACACATTCCATTATTCGACCGGATTTGGTCACTTTTTATGTGAAGCCACTACCTGGAGCAAGGCTGCAGACTGCAACTGGTGAATGCACCCAAGTGTTAGGAGAAGTACCATGCGAGGTAATAATCGACGATGTGGCCTCGTACACTAAGTTTATAGTGGCAGACATTGTGGATGAAGTCATCATCGGCGTGGATTTCTTACTTGGCCAAGGCATGAAGATTGACCTCCAAAGAATGATCCTGACAGATCGTCACAGGGAAGTGCCACTTAGGGTTGGTTACGACAGCCAGTGCTGCAGCAGACGGTTAGTCTTAGAGGAAGTGTCGAAGATTCCACCAGAAACAGAAGCGATTAGTTGGGCGGAGGTTGGCAGTGATGGAGACGGAGTGGTTTCGTCAGGAGAAGGAAGCGGTTCACCGATACGGGAAAAGCGTGACGGTTCCGCCAGCTCAGTGAAGAAGAGGTCGCAACAAGGAAGTGGTCAGGGCGAGCCAGGCAGTGTTTCCGGCAGGAGGAAAGCCACTGAACCACGTTGCAATGGTGATACGCCGGTGGCCGGAAATGGAAGCGGCTGTGAAAGCAGTAGGCGCGCTTTGAAGTGTCCCGGAAAAGGTGGCCGGCAAAGGCGAGCAGTTAAGCCGGAAGCTAAGGATGAGGTAATACATGTCCGGTCAATGAGGTTGACGCCGGAGAAGGAGCGAGATGCGGAAACACGGCGGAAGTTTCAGCGTAAGGATCCGGATGTTGCAAGATGTGCTAAAGGCAGTGCAGCACGAAGGCGGAAGTCTGGATGTTATGGACAGATGATGCGGCATAGATCTGGCGAAAAGTGTGCCCATGAGAAGAGACATGGTCTGGTCACCACCAGTGGCCGGCAGGAGCACTACCATGTGAGATGGTGCACCACCGGAGATAAGCTGGAAGCAATGTCCAGTAACGCATCGAGCCGAGAGGAGCTACAGGAAGGTGATTCGGTGTTGTTGCACATGCCGCAGCCGAAGAAAGGCTTCACCTCCGAACAACATCGTAACTGGA